TTCTTTTCCCATTTTGGTACATATATTTTTTTCTTTTTCTTTTCAGACACCATGTTTCGGTGTTTACCATCCAAGGACAAAGACTGGCGCGGTTCATAACTTGAGTTAGAAGACTACCAGTACCTATACACACTGCATATTTCGAGCAGGGGGGAGCGAGAAGGCACACCTTTGGATCCGATCCTGATGAAGAAAGATTATTATGATCATACGAGGCTTGTGAATGAAGATGTCAATACGTAGGGCATGTTGGCTAGAGGGCCGCGTTCTTGAGAGAGCTGGTGGATGTCCTTCACTATGTCGAAGACGGCCTCTGGCTGTGCTAGCTTCATCGCGTTCTCCGACATTCTTTTCAGTCCGTCGGTGTTGGTTGTGAACCATTCGGCCACCATCCTCGCTGTTTCTTTGGGACTTCTGGTGAAGACGCCTGCACCGTTGTCAACTACGTAAGGCACATTGCCCTTCTCCTGTAAGGGAAAGATTAAAAGGTCAGAAAAATGCTTAAGGTTCACCATGTGAAAGACAGACAGAGTTACAGAAAAAATGAAACCAAGCCTCTCACTCACTTGTCCAGGAATGTAGTCGTTGAGAATAATAGGAAGCCCTCGAATCAATGCCTCTGCAATCGTCCCGGGTCCAGCCTTGGTGATTATGCAATCACAAGCTCCCATCCATCTTTCCATCTTGGTTTCGAATCCTCTAACCTAAATTTGTAAAGAAAGAAAGAAACCTTCGGTAAATGAATTGTCCTGAGATAAAATGATGTGTAAAAAACGTGTAGGTTGAAGACGTTTTACCTTGACTGGGATGTTCCAATCCGCGGACTGCAATGTAGATCTAAGAACCTCGTTACGCCCACATATGATAACCAATTGTCCAATCGGTTTGCCCAGTTCTTTATCATACAGTGATTCTCCCAAAGCTAGTGCAGTTTTCTTGACAGGTCCCATACCTTCACCACCGCCCATTAGCAAAACGGCTGGAAGATCAGGATCCATTTCAAGCTCTTCCCTTAGTTCCTCCTGAAATCCAAGAAAAAGGCTCCAAACATCAGTAACTTATCCTTCTACCCCTGCAGTAAGCAACCATTGTAAAAGATATATCAAACCTTGGTGAAAACTGCACGGGCAAAAGAAGGCCGGATTGGCAAGCCGAAAACCTGGATTTGAGACTCTTCCAAACCATCCATTGCAGCCCTCTTCGCCAATTCCTTTGATGGACAATAACATCTGTCGACTCCAGGATGAAACCTGGAAATTCGCTACATGTTAGAAGACAATTCACGTAGGCCAAGCATGCATATAACAAATTTGAAGACCCTGATCTCAGCAACTAACCATGTAGGATGGCAACTATTGAGGTCGGTAATAACTGTAACGAAAACCACTTTCTTCTGCAGCCCTTGCCATTTCAGAACCCATAGAGGAATATGTTGCATCATTGGATGGACACTGATGATAATGTTAGGCTTGTACTCCATTAAACCAGCCTCCACCTCCCTTCATTCACCATAACATAAAATAAAATAAAAACCATTAGGAAACCATGTCTACACTAAAATTAAGATTCCACTTCAAGAAAACCAATTATTTAGCTTCAACAATCATCAAAAGCTTCTTACAGAACTGTGGGGTCAAAGAGAATCATATACGGCAAAAGCATGTTATTTCATATCACCCCACTCAAATGATCGCTGGACCACCACACCTAACACCATATTTTATTGATGTTAACGAGATGATCTATCATGGTGACCAGCTAAAAGCATCGTTCAAGTCACATGATATGAAATGATATGGGAACTGTAAATCTAAGCTTTTATTTGGTAGAAACTGGAAATCTGAACTAAGAACATAAGATCAGGCCAAAAAAGGGAACATCTCATCATTGACCAGCCTATCTCCAGCGTTAAAACCAAAAAAGAATGGTATTAGGTTAAAGTAGTATTCAAGGTAAGCTGGAAGTACTTGGCATAGTAGGCAGCAATGGCGGCAAGGTAGCTGCTGTGGATCCATTTGGGACATGTGGTGTGAAATGCCACCTTCCATAGCTGCACATGCTTCACCATGAACTTGTACTGCCTCTCCATGTCATTCAATGGCCACCCTGTGTACTCCTTCCATACATCCTTCACAATTATCTGATTCCTCAAACAAAAAAGAGAGCTCCAAATCAGAATTACAGTATACATATACTATCTGCTAGAAACAGGACAAACAAAAAACAGGAGGGAAAATTCATTGAGGAATTGGGTCGAACACCAAGTTTGCAAAAAGAGGAAACACAACAGAATTGGCCAAAACCTAACAACGATGGAGAAGAAGAGAGAAAATTTTCCGAAAATCAAAATTCAAAATCACGGAAACCAAAATCTAATCAGAGATTGAAACCAAGCAATTGCTATGAAGAACTCAGGCGAAAATTCGACGGGCTGTTAATTGTAGTTTACCCGGTAGTCGTCGCCGTACTCGATCTTAAAGGCGTCGCGGATGGCCTCGGCGGAAGCACGGTGGCCGCCGCCGGTGTCGCTCATGAGAATCAACACCGTCTTCGTCCGCTCCGCCCCAATCTGAGCCAGCTCCATCGTCCCTTCTCCCTCCTCGAAATCATTGTCCATCTCGTCGAGGAAATACTTCGGCTGGTGCCGGTTCCGGCTCCGGCTATGGTCGCTCCCGGAACCGAAATTTCCGTACACGCGCTGCATCACCTCCGCTATCGACGCCTTCCGCGGCGTAGCAACTTTCATCACCATTCTTTCTCCCCACAAGCCAACCACCGGTCAAATTAACGGATCCGCCGCTCAAAAGACTTTCCCCGTTCCCGCCGCCGGGAAGAGGAGAATTCGACTCAGCCGGCGGGATGTGGAAATAGGGGAGAAATTAGGCGGAGGAAAGGAAGGGAGAAATTGGAAGCTGTTGGTCGTTTGTTGGGGAGAGAGTCTCTGCAATGGCGGAGGAGGAAAGGAGGGGAAAGGGACGGCTAAATTTAGTGTGTGAGGGAGACGGCATATAATTTCCCGGTGGAAGGAATTATGCCATTACTAGGGGGACGATTATTTTTTGAATTGTTGGTGACCGTCGGATTCGCATTTTGTTTCGGAATGTTCTATGGCGAGATTCGAATCTTCTCTCGGGTGTCTATCTGTAATATATTTTTCCCCCCTTGTTCTGGGGGGTAAACTTCTTTCACATCACCAAATTTTACTAGGCGATTCAATTCGGTCACTGTTTAATTCCTTTTTAACGATTAGAGTCCCCCTTTTATACAAAAGTTATGAATCTCTTATCTGCGTGATGTGTCCATCTTCTTCTTTCGGAAAACACGTTCGTATTCTTTTGCTTGTGTTCAAAACGAAGTACCGTTCTTCTCCGTACAAACGGTATTTTTCCGACGAAATTGGTAGATCAAGTTTCCAAAAGAATCATTAATGGAGAGGAGAAGAGAAGATGAGTAGAGTTGTTCTTTAACTTAAGGAGACAACCACATTTTTTTGTTTTGGATTTTACTGGATAAGTTGGTGTCCCGTGATTTTGGCGATGGGTTGATCAGCTGTGCCCTCACAATTTCGATGCGGCGATTATGTCGTTTCCCTCTACGTGGGCCACTCTCAGTTCGTTCCGATTTTTGCATGTCGAGCTCATTGCCCTATCAGCCGACGCCTCCTCTATTACTCTCAATTTTTTCGGTGTATAGTGGCGAATAATGGGAACATGAAGAGCTATGATGGTAAAATTACCATGTATTGTGGGGTCTAATTGATCGACAAGTGGAAGTGGAGTATGAAGCAAGTGGGAAGAAGGTGGTCCCCCCTTTTCTTTTGCACAGCTGGCAATGGGGCCATGTCAGCCTGTGCTGACGCCACAATCAAACCTAAAAAAGGAAGTTCTTTATTGCACAAGGTGGAGCCCACAGCAAAACTTGCGGTTGCGCACAGCTCGTTTCTGATTCGTTTTCCGACCTGTCATTTTTGTTTGTAAATGTGACAGCAAAATTAGCATTTACGTATCTGGATTTTTAAGGAGTATACAGTAAGTTCCCTCAACTTTGTGGGAAGTCTGGAATTATCTCTCTTGGGCCAGTTTGAAACGGTTGGGCTGGGCTTGTTTTGGATCAATTTGGAAGGTTAGCGGCCCATTGGGTCAAGTCTTACCCTAAAGAAAAATTTATAAAAAAACGACCACAGTGGGAGTCGAACCCACGACCTTCTGATCCGAAGTCAGACGCGCTAATCCACTGCGCTATGCGGTCTTACATGTTTAATTCGAATAAAAAACTTACTACTACATTTTTAGTTTAACAAATTACCAAGCACTACCCAATCTTTACCAGATTGCCATGCCGACCCCAATTCTTAAAACTTCGTCTCTTCCAAACACGTCCTCGCCACTCCCCCTTTCTCACTTTCCCCGACTATCTCCATCTCTTCATCAAATCCCCACACAAAATCTAGGGTTTCTGCGTAATTCTGCAATTCTCCCACCGCCGTCCCGGCTCCGGTAAGCTCCCCCTCCGCTCCTTCTCTCTGGAACTCGCCGCTGGTATCAATTCTCCCATGTTCCTCTTGTTATCAACTCCGCGCGTCTCCAATTTCACACTGTTTTCCCTTACTTCACCAGCTGTGAATTTTAGAGTCCCTTTTTCTCTTTCCGTCTTCATCACCCGTCTTGTTAATTGAGGTGATTGACTTTACGAATCATTCAGCTTTTTGCTTCAGTTTTGACCAGCTGGTAAATTGCATTGACCCCGTTTTGATTAAGGTGTCCCTATCTTTGTCCCTTGTGAAACTGACGGAGATAAAAGAGTAAATTTTGACTCTTTTTGCACTTTTGGGGTCTGAACTGTTTTTTCTTCTTCTTTTTCTTTCAGGTGAGTGTGAGTGTGATTTGTGATGCCGAGGGCAAAGCTTATACTCATATGCCAGTGTGGCGGGGAATTCACGAAACATGATGATGGCACCATGTCATACAGCGGTGGAGATGCCCACGCTGTGGAGATCAACAGAGACACTGTCTTTGATGATCTCAAGCTGAGGGTTGCAGAAACCTGTAACTTGGACCTTCAATCTGTCAGTATGAAGTATTTCATCCCGGGGATGACCAGGACCCTGATCACATTGTCCAATGATAAGGATTTCAATACCATGTATGATTTCTATGGCGAATCGATCACCGCGGACATCTATGTCACGGGTACTCTAGGTTTCGTTCAGTCAACTACGACGCCATCCCCTAAGATGCTTCCTGCACCCGCCTCGTTGTAAGCTTTCTTTTTGGTTCCTATAGTGAATTGTTCATTCTTTTGGTATGCTAAGTTGGTTTTACTGCTTTTGGTGGTTTGCAGGGGACTTGTGGTTAAATCACCACCTGCAACAACCGGGAGGCGTAAGAGGGCAGCATCTAAACCTAAATCAAAAGCAAAATCAAGATCGAAATCAGCTGCTGCTGATAGTCCGAGTGCTAGTAGCGACACAACATCACCTAGCAGTGATTCTGATGATTCTTCTTCTTCTTCAGATCATCCTTCACCCGACACTGAATCGGCTGGAATGGAAACACCACAGAGTCCTTCCAGTAAAGTTGTTGATGTCCCAATTTCATTTGATCTAGCTGCTACCCCTGCTGATACGGTGAAGAAGAGAAGGCGCACTGCTTCATGGAAAATTGGTGCTAATGGTCGAATGACAATTGGTTCTTCTGCTAACGAGGGGGATACGAGTATGACTGCATCGTGTATTAAGACCATTAGGAATCTGGATCCTTCAGTTGGAGGGAGTGGTACTGAATTGATGGTTATAGATGAACATACGAGAGACGGTTCATTGGACCAGTTGGTGGCCACTTGGAGAGATGGAATAACTGGTGTAGGTCAGGAATTCGAGAGTGTGGTCAAGTTCCGTGATGTCCTACAGAAGTACGCCATTGCACATCGTTTCGGATATAAGCTAAAGAAGAACGACTCAAATCGAGTCAGTGCAGTTTGTGCTGCCAGAGCTTGTTACTGGAAGATTCATGCCTCGTGGGTCCCTAATGATGGAGTTTTACGTATCAAGAAAATGGATGAACCACACACATGTGGGGAGGACTCTTGGAAGTCGGTTCATGCATCAAAAAATTGGCTGGTGAATGTTATCAAGGAGAGACTCAGAGAGAGCCCACATCACAAACCGAAAGAAATCTCTAATGGAATATTTAGAGACTTTGGGATTGAGCCGAACTATGCTCAAGTTCGACGTGCAATCGAACATGCTCGTGTGGAAATGTTGGGTTCATACACAGAGGCATATAAGAAGCTCCCCTGGTATTGTGAGAGACTACAGGAAGCAAATCCCGGTAGCTCCACAAACCTTGTCATTGATAATGAGAGCAATAAATTCCAACGCCTTTTCATATCCTATCGTGCATTGGTAGAAGGTTTCCAGAATGGTTGTCGCCCAGTTCTTTACCTCGACTCTACCCCTTTGAGATCGAAGCACCATGAAATTTTGTTGACAGCTAGTGCATTAGATGGAGATGATGGAATCTTTCCTGTTTCATACGCGATCGTAGATATAGAGAATAAGGACAGCTGGCATTGGTTTTTGGATCAGTTGAGGTCTGCAATTTCGAGCTCAGACCCGATAACTTTTGTCTCTGACAAGGAGAAGGAGCTGAGAGAGTCGGTGCTCGAAGTATTTACTGGTTCCTACCATCGTTATTCACTATATCACTTGCTGGAAGAGTTCAAGAGAAATCTCAAGGGTCCATTTCATGGAGACGGCAGACCATCTCTGCCTGTAAACATGTTAGCTGCTGCATGCACTCGCCGGCTTGAAACCTTCAACATGCTCCTGGAACGTATCAAAGATGTCTCTGTAAAAGCTTATGAGTGGCTTGTCCAGATTGACCCTGAAAATTGGGCGAGTTCGCATTTTAAAGGTGAGCAGTACACTCCGGAGAAACCGGACACATTCAACACTGCAGAGTTCTACTCAAAGTGGATCGACGAAGTGTGGGAGATGCCGATTACAATGAAGCTAGAAGCGATAAGAGGGAAGATAATGGAGTTGATGCAGAGTCGTAAAACCGAATCAGACGGCTGGACGACTACTATGAGAATAACTCCTTCCAAGGAGAAGAAGCTTCAGGAGGAAGGGGCGAGAGCTCGATCTTACAAGGTGCTATTCTCGAATGGAATCCTGTTCGAGGTTCATGACCGTTTGATCAATGTCGTGGATACGCACTCAAGGAAGTGCACCTGTATGGAGTGGGTCGTGAATGAGTTTCCATGCTGCCATGCGATTGCTGTCTCTATTCGGACTGGACACGTGGCGTATGATTATTGCTCGCAGTACTTCTCAGTCGAGAGGTATCATGCGGCTTACTCTGGGTCGATAAATCCTGTTACGGACCCTTACAGTCCTCCGGAGGAAGAAGACGATGAGGAGACTACTGAGTCTACTGTGGTTGTGCTTCCTCCTACAACGCCAAGGCCTCCGCCTTTGCCTAAGGAGAGGTATTACAAAAGGAGAGGGGAACTGAAGAGGATAATCTTGTGTACTAGGTGCAAAGGAGAAGGGCATAATAAGGCTACTTGTAAGGAGCCTCCTGAGGAGGAGGAAGTGAAGGTGCTTGATGCAGCCGAGCAGCCAGAAGAACTACACCAGCTGGAAGGACCGGACCAGGGAGAAGAACCTACGGAGAAAGGTGAACAGAAGAAAACTTTGTGCACTAGTTGCAAGGGAGAGGGACACAATAAAGCCACCTGCCAGGAGCATTTGTTACTAATTGAAGACGCGAACGAAGTCGAATCATAGAAGATAATAATTTCATGCCTGGGGTTACCCTTGTATCATTGCTCTGTACAGTCTTCATGTTCTGAATCAGAATTCGGTAACTGTTGAGTAGTAGTTTCCATTGCTTGGCTGAGGTACTCTATTAGTTTTTTCAAGGAGAAATGCAGCTTATCTGTTGTTTGATTGACTTGCTGTGATGGCAGTTGCAGGATTGTTAGCTAGTTTTAAAGTAATGAAAGAATTGAATATGTTTCATTGCGTTTCACTCAATTGGATTGCTGCTTAAAGAGAGGCCTACAGCCCCGATTATCGCTCTGCTGCGTCTGGTATCCCTATATAAATTGGCTGTGAGTGACTCTGAAAATCTGATGTGAAGGCCCAAAATATTTATGTACTACACGATAAATTTGGAGCAAAACATTGATTCTAGGAAGTAGGAACTGTAACTCCTTAAGACCGAAACTATAGAGATACGAAGGGATAAATGTTCGTAGTGGCAAATGATTCCAATGTACTTGTGTTACAGGGATTTGGGTTAATGGAACTGGATCCAAACCAAATGGAAGCAATTGTTACTCCTTTAATTCTAGTACTCAACAGAGACTCTTTCCTGCAACTAAACATAACAAGGAAGCCATTGCAGCACCTTTAATCCTAACACAGTAGGGGTCAAACAAATTACAAGGTACATTGTGCCCAGCTAAACCGAAAGCCGGTCAGACTGTCACCATAGACACTCTTACAACAACCAAACGCCACCTATGTCTCTCTAGTCATCCATCTAAAACTATGTGTTGTGCAACCCTAAATAACCTTAGTTTCCATCGTAGCTCTATCTACAGAGGTTACATATCGCGCGATCACTTCAGTTGAGAGATGTAATCTACACGCAACACAGTGGGCATCGAGGGTCACATGTGTGCTCGAGGCTCGTCTTCCCCTCCAAACATTCTGCGTGATACATATGGCCGCAAACCAGAACAGCAACAACAGCAAATTCACCGGAGGATGATGGCGAGTCACCGAGGGAGCAAGGCTTTCGCCTCAACAGCTTCTGGCAGATCCCGCATACCACCTTTATCGAGTCTGAGGAGGAGTATACAGCGTCAGTTACTAATGAGCTGAACCTGATCCTCTCGGGTCTGGTGAAATCGACATTTTCCCTGTGATCTGTGAGTGAGGAAATGTGTATTAGGGAGTCAAATGTGGAGAAACTACAAGCAGCTGATACTGCCTAAATGTCCAAGCAGCAATATGGTAACTGAAAACCGAACCAATTAACTACCCTATCGTTATTGTAGCATGCACAATAAGGCAATAGTAAACTCGATCGTAAGGTTAACTTCACCTCCCTGATGCCTGAACTCTAGACCTGCTTCGTGTTGACTGCCAAACTTGAAGGGGCGTCTCTCATCGTGTAAAAGGTGGTGATTCCTCCCATGAGAAGTCGACGATGAACCAGCGTGGCTTCCTGAGTTCCTACGAGAGTAATGATGGCCATAATGATGACGTGATCGTTTCAGAAATATTGATCGACCAAGGTTGTGGTGCTGATGTGCGAGAGACGAGTGCAAATTCAGCAGTCTGGTGGCATTGTCTTGAGCTTGCACCCCTTGCGAAAGAGGATTCAGTTCAGCAGAATCGAGCCGGGAACTTCTCTGCAAAGGTAAAGGATGGCATAATGTGCTTAATCACAATGTTTAAGATAAATTATCCCAAACGAACCATTAACTGAAATGAAACCAGAAAGACTAACCCCGTGGGATAGTGATCCTCTTCCACAAGAGAAAGGCATCTCACCTGCATAATGAATCAACAAATTCCCTCCAATTTAGAATTAACACGAACCATAAACAGTGTTCTTTTCTTCTCATAGCGGTTCTTTTTTACGCGACACATAGGTTCCTTACTTCCTTTATCTAAACTACAACAGGAACTCACTGAATAGTCACAATCATATTCAAATGCATAATCAGAGCAATACAGATGCTAAACTAACAAAGACAACGATGGAGGCTAGCAATCATACAGCAAAAGATTGCCAAGACTTGAAATGTGTCTCAGTTTGTAAGGCAGTTTCACGCATACATCCACGCAAACCAAAATCTGGGATTTCATGGTATTCCGAAAATGAAGCTAGTAGTTCATCAAAAAGAAAATTAAGCTAGTAACATCAGGTGTTTAATGAAAATGACAATGGTGGCAGTTCTAAGAGATGCTATAGACAAACTACAAGCACAACAGATCGATATGGCTGTAACATCCAATCACAAAGTCCATTCAGTCTGATTCAAATCGCGATCATTCGATGTAAGATCCACAATGAACAATAGGATCCAGAAGCGGCCATCTCCAGCTTCTTGCATGAAAAAGGCAATTATTTTGGAATGCCAAAAAGATCATTACAGCATTATCAATTCCAAGCAACATCAGATCAGGATTCTCCATTTCCCCATTTTCGATTTGGTAAAATGACAACCCACAGCTCTCAATCAAAGTCGAAAAACAAAGCAGTAAACAATCAAACCAAAAGCAAGACCTAACCTTTTTCCTATTAGGCATTCTAAATGAAAAGATACCAAATTTTAACCCAAGGAAACCGCATCTCACAAGAGTTCCCGCTAGATATCAGCAAAATTCAACAAACCCACCTCAATCGATTCTCAAAGATTCAAGCAATCTAGCCAAGTCAAAAACACAACCCATCAATCAATTTCAATAGCTTCCCCAAATCCCCCATCCAAGCACCAAACTTTCCACATAATCAAACGAGCCCACAAGACCAAAAATCTACCAACATAAACAAAAGGATCGTACCAGAGGGAGAAGGGGAAGAAGAAGAAGGATCGATCGGCGGATTTTGATGATGGGGAGTCGAACCACTTCGCCTCCTCTTACCCATAACGAAAATAAGGGGCAAAAAAAAAAGGGGGAAGGAGAGAGAACCAGCAGCACCCTTCAATGGCGGAAATGGCTGAGAATCGTAGGGTTTTAGGGAAGGTAGGAAAAAAAGATTGTGGATTCGCGGAGTTAGAGGAACCAGAGGAGCATTTCGCTCCCAAAAAAAAAACTCTTCCCTTTTACCTTTTTGGATGTCAGATTTCACACACAGCTACTGCTAGTACTGCTAAGCTACCGACGAGTCCACGAAAGAGAAGACGGGGAAATGAGAGCGGAAAGGAAAGGAATCAAATGAATGATTAAAAGGGTAAACTCCGTTCATCATCTGTTTCCTCAAACGCGGCGACACGTGCACTGTTCGTACTTCGCATCATATCAGTGATATCACTATGTTCATTCATTCGTGTCCCAACTTCTCGCGGGAAAATGGTGGACAAAACCCCCGCCTTCTTCCTCCTTTCTCCTCTGCTCTGCGCCATCTCTTCTCCTCTGTCTCGGTGCCAAGTGGACAACCTCTTTGCCGTACAGACTTGCTACAAGTAGCGTGTGACCGTAATAGCTGCACAGAGTATTTTTTATATTTTCACAGCAGAGCTTTTTAGACTTCAATGGCTTTTTAGACTTCAATGGCTTCTTTTCTATGCTGCTGAAGGGTTATTTCCATGTTGAATGCACTTGACTGCTCCCTTAACTAGCCATGGAAGGAGTTCTTATCTACGACAACAGCATCCTCAAAACGATAAATGACAGCTTCACTCTCTCGAGCAAGCATCAAACATCTAATTTCATAGTTAAAGTACGAGACAATTGACCGATTAGTATTACTCTCCGGTCTCTAATTGATATTGATCCATAACTACTACACAATTATCATACATCTCATTCCACATTCGACTAATGATCGAATCATACCCTCTTATCATCATCACATACGAAAAATGAGCAAGTCCTACGTCGACCACATCCAAACACAAAGTATGGTATACTTTGGTTTGATCGAAGATGGAAGTTCGACATTACTGAGATCGAACAGGCCAAAAAACAAAACTATATAAGCAGATTTGGTAAAACTGAGATGTGTAGTAATGAACTTGCTGACACTATGAGTGAAAGTTGTGTCAACATTGTTAATATGTTGTCTAGTTAAGGCATCATTTTCTTGTTGTGTCACCGTGTGTGCATTGAAATGCATGTTTTAGTGGTTGATCATGAAAGCATCTTACCGCCTAAATCGAAGAAAAAAAGGAAAGGAAAACAGACGCTCAAGGGATCAAATTTTGCCCATGTTCCCAGGCTGTAATGGTTAGCTAAGTCATGTACATTTGTGCTCCCATCTCAACATCATGCATCATCCCCACTTGCTCCAATCACCTAAAGAGTCTCCCAAGTGGTGATAAGATAACAAGATTGATACAATGTGATTAACTCGCAATATGTCTACTCCCTAGATCGGATAAGTCGTAACTCGGCATCATGTACATTTGTGCTTACATTCCAACATCATGCATATCACTTGCTCCAACCGCCTACAAACATCCGATCCCCCGAGTGGTAATAAGCTAACAAAGATTGATACTGACAAGACTGTTACTACCTCATTACTCTCGAGTTTAGTTCTCTAAGAATATCGTTTGGTGGTTTTCATGGCGATATGTATGTCCTCATACTTGATTAAGATGTGCAGCTCAACTAAATATATAAACAATGGTTGAGAAGTTTATCAACAAGCACCAGTGGTCTAGTGGTAGAATAGTACCCTGCCACGGTACAGACCCGGGTTCGATTCCCGGCTGGTGCAGTTTGAGAGCTGTGATGACTTCTTGCCTCCGCGAAGTGGTCCTTCGCAATCTTCCTGATCTCTGATGGGAACTAAGGCATTACTGAGCTCTTGAATTTTTAGTTTTTGCTCACTTGATTACCTATACACATCAGATTTTGGATAAAAGGTTTTAATACATTAATCTCCAATTAGTAGACTGTATCTAGAAAGAGTAGTTGCACTTGAATAACAAATTGTATTACTGAATGTACTTTAGCAATAGCATGACACAAACTTACATTCTTGATCAGTTTCTGTTGCCTATAATCAGTTTAAATTAAAAGAGTTGAAAAGTTTCAGTTTGTTCGTTTTAAACCGTATGATTTATTGAGCTTGTCGTCTTCCATATAATTTTTTTTTGCATAAAAGATGATACAACAACACCTGAGTGAGGTGGTGGCAACGAGAACGGCTTTTGTATGATGGTGTGTTTGACCCGTTTCTGGTGGAGTTGCTTTCCTTATGGGATGCCATGAGGTGGTGCTTGGACAGGGGGACTGCGATCTATGGTGTCTGCTTCCGATGCAAAGGTCGTGGTTTATAGACTCCGGGAGGATCAGTGGAACCATGTTCGTGGTGGCGCCGTCCTTGGCGATTTTTTTTGGCCTTGAGGGAGAACATTGAGCGAATGGATGTTAGGTTTATTGGTCATCAGTTAAACAAGGTTGTCCATTTTGTGGCGCATAAAGCCCTTTCGTTGTTCCTTTCTTTAGTTGGGTTCGACGTTTCTTGGTTATTTTTCGGCCACTTGACTTTTGTGTATCTTGTTGTTTATTCGGTAATACGGATGATCTTTTGCCAACAACAAAAAAAAAAAAAACATGTGTGATATCTCCAAGTGACACAACACTGGAATGAATACCAATTAAAAACATGTTATAAGGGATATGAATTTCCCTCTATGAACTCTATATTTATCGAAAATTAGCAATGACTGCGAAATCGTATCAGAGTTTGTACCAGAAATGACAGCCATAGAGTATTTTTATGTTGAAAATCGTGATTCGAACGTTTCATACTACTAAAAACCATCTACTTATTTAGTCTCGATATGAAGTTTTTACGGTCGAACTACCGAGTTTCACAAACAAATTAGATTTCCGACCTTCGAATGAAAGAAGAAAAGAAAACAAAAAGATAAAGGAAACGAATACGGATTAGTCTTCTAAGTATCCAACAAATATGGAGTAATCCCAATCCCGCCAATCTCTCTTAATCACAAGATTAGAAGGTAGAATTACGAGTTTACTAATCTTCATTCTTCACCAACCCTCTTACTCTTACCAAGGGGCAACAATGCACAAATGACAAAACAAAAAGAAAAACAATCCCCCCACGTCATCATTTTCTTAAAATACGTGACGAGTCTTATCCAGAAATTATAAAACCCAGTCATCAAGATTAAAACCCTTCCACCTTCTCCTTCCCCCCAAAAATCAAAAACCAAATAAAACCAAAATTCCGACCCTTCTTTCCCACTCTCATCCTCCTCCCTCCGCCTTCATTCCACTCCGCCGCTGCGCTTCCCCTCTCCCTATCTCTGTACTCATTTCCCATTTCCCCGGCCATGGGTGCGGCGCTTCTCCCAGATCTCGGCACCGAGATTTTCATCCCGGTGTGCGCCGTCATCGGCATCGCATTCGCCCTCTTCCAGTGGGTGCTCGTCTCCCAAGTCAAGCTCTCCCCTGTTTCTCCTTCCTCCGGCAGCAGGGACTCCTCCAACAAGAACGGATACAACGACTACTTGATCGAGGAGGAGGAAGGTCTGAACGACCACAACGTCGTTCTCAAGTGCGCCGAGATTCAGAACGCCATTTCCGAAGGTAAAAAAATGAGTCCGAGTTTCCCCCCCCCCCCCCCACCCAAATTGAAAATGTCGTTTCGTTACACCCCACCTCTCCGAGCTTAGATCTGGGCATTTGTTATTTTTAGAAGTTACTTTCCGGGAAAATGGGGGGAAATGGATTAAGTTCTGCCGTTAATTTTTACCGGATTCCTAATTGGGTATGACTTACATCTGTAGCCCGGGGACTGGGGTTGATTCTGTTCTTTCTTGGACGTTTGATATAAAGATCTGCCCTTGTTCCCCATCATTTTGCTATAAGGACTCGTCAATAGAAGCATCGACCAGGTCCTGTTGGAAATTCTGTGTGGTTGCTTAGAAAGGGGTCAGTTTAGCAGTAAATGGAGAGTGAAATCATGTAATGTGATTGATGATTAGGGTAATAGTTGAAGGTCTTTTCGCTTGGTAGAATGATTTTTGGCCAAATTCAGTAGTAGTTGATGATGAGGAAGCAGAAAAGGACTATGCTTTATGATTTATGAGCTCCTAGCTACTCATTAGGCTGCTGGTTGAACCTATATATAATATATATTCGTGGCTAACGTGGGGGATATGGATGATTTGGCATTGCAGGCGCGACATCTTTCCTCTTCACGGAGTACAAGTATGTCGGGATCTTCATGGTTGCGTTCGCAGCCTTGATCTTCGTGTTCCTTGGCTCGGTCGAGGGGTTCAGCACGAAGCCACAGCCTTGCAGCTATGACTCTCAGAGAACTTGCAAGCCTGCCCTGGCTACTGCTGCTTTCAGCACCATATCTTTCCTGCTCGGTGCGGTCACTTCAGTGGTTTCTGGGTTTCTTGGCATGAAGATTGCTACCTACGCGAATGCCAGGACGACTCTCGAGGCGAGGAAAGGTGTTGGCAAGGCGTTCATTGTGGCTTTCAGGTCTGGTGCGGTCATGGGGTTCCTTCTCGCTGCTAATGGCCTTGTGGTGCTATTCATTACCATCAATGTGTTCAAGATCTACTATGGTGAGGACTGGGGTGGCCTTTTTGAGTCGATTACTGGTTATGGTCTCGGTGGTTCTTCCATGGCCTTGTTCGGGAGAGTTGGTGGAGGGATTTACACCAAGGCTGCTGATGTTGGTGCTGATCTCGTCGGGAAAGTTGAGAGGAACATCCCCGAGGATGATCCTAGAAACCCCGCTGTAAGAATTTACCCGCGGTGAATGAGTTCTTGGTTGATGTCCTGATACACCCTTCTCTAACTTGTTTACTGATACTGGATTGTTGTGATCTTTTTTCAGGTGATTGCTGACAATGTGGGTGATAATGTTGGTGATATTGCCGGTATGGGATCTGATCTTTTCGGATCGTATGCCGAGGCATCCTGTGCTGCCCTTGTTGTAGCATCCATTTCTTCCTTCGGTATCGACCACGACTTCACCGGGATGCTGTATCCTCTGCTGATCAGCTCAATGGGTATCGTGGTTTGTCTGATCACCACTCTCTTTGCAACTGATTTCTTCGAGATCAAGGAGGTCACAGAAATCGAACCCGCATTGAAGAAGCAGCTCATCATTTCCACCGTGCTGATGACTGTTGGAATTGCCATCATTACCTTCATCAGTGTTCCAGCTACCTTCACCATCTTCAACTTTGGAACCCAGAAAGTCGTCCATAACTGGTTGGCACTCAGAGCTATACTTTCGTTTGTGTGCATTGTTTTCCTCCCCGTTGTTGTGCTTTCCATATGTTTTGAGTGTCCTTGATCAGGCAATTATTCTTGTGCGTTTCTGTTGGTCTATGGGCCGGCCTTATCATTGGATTTGTGACCGAGTACTACACAAGCAATGCTTACAGGTAAAAGAAAGGTCCGAACTTTGACATTTCCCCATCTTCAAAAACTGTTGATTTCAACACTTCTAAACTATGCCCTGAGTTTTTCCAGCCCGGTTCAAGACGTTGCTGACTCCTGCCGTACCGGAGCTGCAACTAATGTCATCTTCGGGCTCGCATTGGGATACAAATCCGTCATCATCCCTATCTTCGCCATTGCAGTCAGTATCTACGTCAGCTTCAGCTTCGCCGCGATGTATGGGGTTGCAGTAGCTGCCCTCGGAATGCTCAGCACCATCGCCACCGGTCTGGCAATCGACGCTTATGGTCCCATCAGTGACAACGCTGGAGGAATTGCAGAGATGGCAGGAATGAGCCACAGAATCAGGGAGAGAACTGACGCCCTTGATGCTGCAGGCAACACCACCGCCGCCATTGGCAAGGTTTCCAAAGTTTCCACTCAGCCAATTCCACTTTGTCAGCCAATTCCACTTCCTAGTTTAGTACAACGAACTCGAATCTTTCTGTCGTTGCCAGGGTTTCGCCATTGGTTCAGCCGCACTCGTCTCCTTGGCCCTCTTTGGCGCCTTTGTCAGCAGAGCATCCATCTCGAAAGTCGACGTGCTGACCCCCAAAGTGTTCATCGGCTTGATCGTCGGAGCGATGCTTCCGTACTGGTTCTCCGCCATGACGATGAAATCCGTGGGAAGTGCTGCCCTGAAGATGGTTGAGGAAGTCCGCCGTCAGTTCAACACCATCCCTGGACTGATGGAAGGCACAGCCAAGCCCGATTACGCAACCTGCGTCAAGATCTCCACCGACGCCTCCATCAAGGAAATGATCCCACCTGGCGCCCTCGTCATGCTCACACCACTCGTCGTCGGCATCTTCTTCGGCGTCGAGACTCTCTCCGGTGTCCTCGCCGGTTCTCTCGTGTCTGGTGTCCAGGTAAACGTATTTCGTGTTTCGCACGTCAACTCGGGTTTGTAGCCTAGAAAAGGGTATTAATGAAACGTTTTCCGTGTTGCAGATTGCCATTTCTGCTTCGAACACCGGTGGAGCGTGGGACAATGCTAAGAAGTACATCGAGGCGGGCGCTTCGGAGCACGCCAGGACCCTCGGTCCGAAAGGTTCCGACCCTCACAAGGCTGCGGTCATCGGTGACACCATCGGAGACCCGTTGAAGGACACTTCGGGGCCGTCGCTCAACATTCTGATCAAGCTCATGGCTGTGGAGTCGCTGGTGTTCGCGCCGTTCTTCGCCACCCACGGTGGCTTGCTGTTCAAGCTATAAACAAACAATCAATGGGGAGATTGGAAGAGAGGGGAAGGGGCAAAGGACTGATGTTCTGCCCCAAAGAGAGATTTCTTCTCATATAAACATTGTAGCAAGTTGCTAGTTTTTTGAGTCATTGAAATCGTTTCTTTCCTATTAGGTGGGGGAGGAAATTTTCCGCTAGGGTTGATGATGAAGAAAAGGCAACTCTGTGGGTTACTTGAGGAACAATTTACCGAGAGGATTGTTGTTTTGTTGTTGTAGCCTGTAGGGTTCAGTGTCAGTTTGTAGGAAAATCATTTTGTACCCCTTTTAACTAGTTTAAAGCCTTTAATGACGGTTTTGGTATTAATATTTGTGAAACTGTATCGGTTTGATCTAATTATAAATTTTTTATTTATTTATAAAAGGCTAAATTCGTAAGTAATTTTGGCTGTATGAAATAGTTAAACTGCCTTTAAATTACCATTTCAATATTGTTGATTTTTTCATTAAAAACTCTAATACATTCTCATTTTTACTCTTCTTTCTTACCTCGTATATGTATAACTTTCACGTGAAAATTTTACTGCCCTTAAAGAAATGCCACACCTAAGCCGCGTGCCAGTTCTTCCTCGTTAGTCGTCACCGCCATCTTTCTAGAGGTCGTTGCCTTTTCACGTACGGGTAGTGCAGCTGTAATTTGCTACGCCTTCCAAATTTGTTTCAACAACCCTTGGATACCTATAAACTCGTGGGGTACCCAGTTAGTTGGGTTGGGCTTGCGATTTCTGAACTTGCTCCGTATTTTTGCCTGGTTTTTCCATGGATATATCATTTAGCAAACCCCAACTCAACCCGATTCAAATTTTAGGCCAGTGAAAGTGATGGTGGCGATAGAGAGAGAGAGAAGTGACGAGCAACGAAGGGCCCATAACTAGTTAGCCAAGACATGTCTTCCTCCATCAAATCCATTTACATGGGCTTGTAGCCCAATGGGGTTCCCCCAATAACCGCAGGCCCTTTCCCCTCTCCAGTCTCCACCTTAACCGAGCCCGAGCAGAGAGTGGAAAAAAGAAAATTAAAAATATAAATAATCCTTGATCTGTTCCCCAGTTCCCCCAATCTCTCTTTCCAACCAGACTCAAGGTTGCTCTCAAAATCTCAAATCGCCCTAAAACACAAAAAAAATCCCTGACGCTTCGTTACCGCCATCGCCACCTCAACCACCGTCGGCATCGCTCTCCAAGGTTAGTTCCGTCCACCTCCACCTCCTCCTCCTCCTCCACTGCGAGATCGGCTCTGTTGAACGGATCGGAGGTCGACTGAGATGCGTTTTTTTCCCCCTGCGATTGTTCCTCAGAATTAATTTGTGTATCCGTTGACTGGCAGGTCGGTCGGAGAGGTTTTTGATTGTGTTGCGCGCCATCATCATGTCGAATTTTGGAGGGCTGGAGAACCCTGCGAATCCAGGTTACGTACGTTCCCCCCTTTTGTGGATTTTTCTATTTCACCGATTTGAACATTCTATTTCACCGTGTTGGTTTCTTCTATAGTCGCCGGAGAATCTAGCTAGGTCGTGTTTGTTAGCTTGATGCTCTCCCCTCCTCCTGCTCCTGTTATTTCACTGTCTCCTTCCATTGTTATGAGTTTTCCGGTATTCTTATATTCTAAACTAATTGATCTCAAACTTGGATTAATGCAGAGTGGGACGGGAGGACAAGGGAGGAAGAAATCGCTTGGAGAAAGGAGATGCTGGCAAAGGGAGATTTAGCTTGGTTAAAAGAGATGCTGGCTAAATTGGTCAAGTGGCAGGCGCAAGAGAAGAAAGAGCTGGAAGAGGCACCCCTAGGATTATGGGATCCCAGAGATGATCTTGAGCATAATTAAGAAGATAAACTATAATCTAATGAACAAGATATGATCATAAACAGAGTAGATAGATACACATTGCTTTGTGAGTGATTGTGACCTAAGTATATCTAATCTAACTTTGGGTTCATGGGTTTGATCTTTTTCCCTTATGTGTGCAATTTGACCAATCCATAAAGAATTTCCTTTCTCATAAAAAAAAAAAAAAAACAATAGCCGATTTTGAATTCCTTAATCTCTTAAATCATAATTGCAAATAAAATAACTTTCACAGCATAATTAAGAAGATAAACTATGTCGGGAATGAATAAACCCTAATTTTTCATGTTCGGTTTCTAACAAAGTATAATCTAATGAACAAGACATGATCATAGACAGAGTAGATAGATAGGCATTGCTTTTGTGACCTCAGGTATATCTAATCTTAACTTTGGGTTCATGGTTTTGATGTTTTTCCCTTATGTGTGCAATTTGACCAATCCATTTCGCCCACTTTTGCAGATTCTTATATTCTCAATATGGCATGGCTGAAATTTTTGGGGCCATAGGATAATGGTATCGTTGAGAAAAAGATGTAAACTAAGTAAGAGGTCCCATCACTTTTGCTTTTCAATAATCACAAAGGATAATAATATCTATTTGTTGTGTTTGAAACTCCAATCCATGCTAATAATTGACAAACCAAAGGTGTATGTGAGAACTTATTCATAATATCATCGCATTCATAGAATTGCGGTCTGCGGATGATTATAGAACATCCGCCTTCGGTTTGAGGGAGCTAAAGTTTTGTGGGCCACAGTTGCTACTCGATCTTTCTTGCTTGTTTTGCTTTTTGTCGGATGAAACGTTTAGGCGAACCAATGTGACTTAATTGTCAATAATTAAGTTAAAATATGGGAAATATGATCTATCGACTATAGGTTAAAAACTATATATACCACAATCCAGGAATATTTTTTTCCTTCTTTATGTTGTTGTAAACTTATAATTAAATAAGAAGTATTTGCATAATTTCAACATTTAAGGACAGAGGAACCAACAGATCCACCACACACACATGCACTCTCATTCTTTCTCGACATTTCACCTCCTTTAATTCAATGTTGATTATTTTTAAATTTTATTTTTTTAAAAGGAAATAGAAACCTTGTACCCACCAACAACAACATCAAAAGCTACCCATATAATAATAATAATAATAATAATAATAATAAATCGGTGAGATGAGATGGCTAGATCTATATATGATTAAGCTCCAACATATTGGTGGGTGTGACAACATTGAATTTTGGGTTTCCCCAAGCAAGCATATAAATAATTGAATGTGGAGGGTGTCTTTATTGATTCGATGTCCTACAGTTTTTGTGACCTAGTAACCAGCTTTGACAGCCCACTCCCAACCCTTCCCCAATATCAAATGGATCGGATTAACTTTAGAATATGTAAGAGCGAGCGTACTTTTGATGATGAAGAGATACGATTACTGAGTTTGTTAAATCTTTCTGTGGTGAGGTTTCATGGAGAAGGAGGATAATCCATTGTGTGTGCAAATTGAGGTGGCAGGAAATGTATCATGGTCTTGCCTTTAGCTTGAGGTTTGAGATTCGGGAAGATTGCCCTTCAAATTGAGTAATTGTGAATTGTATGTTCGATCAGCTAATCCAAATAGCTGACGGTGTCATGTGATATCAGAGATCTCATGTCACTGGTTCTGGTCACCGTGGACATATCTTCACATGATCACCACCCAACACCCCCCATATTATTTACACCATATCGAAAATCAACAGCACTTATTAAGGTTACAATGACGACTATGATTGAATCACATCTTACCACGATAATAACATGTTGGTGTGAGTTACATGTCCATTCTAGCTGGTTTTGGTAGTCTAGATTTGTTACTCTCTATACGATTCTTTATAGGAGTGAGACAAGATAACTTAATAGAATATAGCAAGTCCCATTGAAATGTTGTTGTCAACATTTTAATTTGGTTTGTTGTTGTTGTTGTTATTGGTGATGGAGGGTGTGGTATGTGGTGATGAGCCAAATGTTTGGTTTGTCTATTACTCCACCAATATCTACATCACACTCTCCATGGAAGGACAAAATCTCAATTTGCATGTCCCCATACCAAAACCCACCAACCATTAAGTACTATTTTTTATAAATAATAATAATTATTAGAAATCAAGATCAAGGGTTGTAAAAATTACAGAAAGTGATGGGAAATTTTGAAGAAAATGGAGATTTGGACAATTTATCTACAAAGGAGAGCCATGCAAGGCCATTGACACCACATATAAACAGTCATGTCTCAACCATAAACTATCTATTTGTTTGTTTTATTTTATTCTAGAGATACTTGTATTGCCAAAGATCGAGATTCAAGCACACACTATTTGGTTGTACATGATAAGTCGTACCCTACTGTTCTCACGATCAACAGATTAAAATCAAAAGACGCAACATTGACGTCTGCAACTGCAACAACCCGACTTCCTCTAATATGTAGCATCACCGCAGACACCAACACACACGTTATCAAGGACTTGCTTAAAATATTCAGCACCTGTGTCAACCCAAGCGAACCATATCAAATCGAACAGCATCACGAGACATTCTCACAAAAGATAAACTATCTATTTGTTACTCCCAAAAAATATAATAAATGCCAACAAATAATTTGCAAAATAAATGAATATCTAAGTATCCAACGAAGGGGTGGATGGTAGAAGAAGTGGTCGTGAGTGAGATGCTTCCATTTGAACATTATCTTCAAGTGATTCCTATTTCTCGAGGGAATTTCTTCTTTCCCTTTCTATCTTATGTGTTTTTAGAGAATGATTCCTTGATGCCCATTTTTCTGGTGCCTTTCCTCGAATTAAATTCTCTCTTTTTTCGAAAATGGGAATTATTAAAAATGAAGAAAATGTATATATCTATATATAGTGATTTTTATCATACACCAAACAAAAACTGGTATATGTCGTACACCAGATAATCTCCACCCTACACGTCCATCTTAACAGTCAGCATAAATGAGGTAATTTATTTTATAATCCCACAAAAAATAGAACCTGCAATTGTGCTGACCGTTAAAATGGACGCGTACGGTGAAAATTTTCTTGTATACGACATACACTAGTTTTTTTTTCTTGATATACGTTAAAACATTTTATATATTTATAATATTGAGAATTAATTATTCCCTTTAATGTGGGGAAATTATATGCCTACTTGTGGGAAGTGTGGCTGAATTGTTGCAGAGTGCCACCTATGACACACCACCCTTTGTTTGTTTGTTTTTTTTTTTTTGGTTTTTTTTTTTTGCCAAAGCACCACCCTTTGTTCTCTGGAGAATCGTTCTGTAATTTTTCTTCCAATAATTTTGTATACAATTTATCATTTATATTCATTTCGACAATTCAAGCAATTGGGATGTAGAGATTATTCGAGTATGACATCTCGCTATTATAGTATTTTTTTCGATTGCATGATTAGCGAGTCTAATAAGAGTATTAGCAACCTTTGCGCTATTCCTAAAACTATGGC